TAAACCCATTGAGACAAGTCCATCATGTAATGAATGATGGAAAAAATATTATGTGGTTTTCAAGGGTCAGATATCTGGGGTATATGATTCATGGCCAGACTGTCAAAGCAATAAAGGACAATTCATATTGCTCTTACAAAAGTCGTGAAGGAGCAGAACAAATGTATTACAAGTTTTGTTCTATAGACTCTATAGATAGTGCACTGGATGAGTTACTACAAGTCAAATCAATCCTCCAAAACCTTAGGCCTTGTGTGATAGGAGGCCTTATTGGATTCATCATGGGCATAATCATCTGGGGGAAATGTGGATTCAAGGTTAATAATTGAACCCATTGTGGCATTAGTAAAACTCCACACATGATAGGTTTTTTTCCTTGGCATGCTATCATTTTTGTTGGTTTTTTGGAGAAGTACAGTTATGTGGACAATGTTGGGTGTAGGTTTAGGACAGTTGTGTCTATATGGACAGGTTTAGGTTCATGTTTAGATAAATTTAATTCCATGTGTTGATAACTCTATGTTCATGCTTCTTATTCTTCTTTTGTTTCAACTGTCTATGGTTTCACTTCTAAGAAAAAATCTAACAGCCGAGACTCAATAGTATGCAATTTAAAGTGCATGATGGTCTCTACCCAAACAAGTCTTGGATCCATATTTAAAGCCTAGAGTTGAATAAAGTGTTGTTTATAGGAGTTATGGTGCAACTTAAGATGAGAAAACATAGTCTTAGCCAAGAAAAACTCAGTGGAAACCATGTAGACACACTTGTTCTTTGAATTCAGGTAATCTCTAAGCTAGGTCATCTATATAAAATTCAAACAATTTCAGTAAATTGTTTACTTAGTCAAACTGATTCAAGATGAATCACTTTTAGTCAAACTGATTCACCCACTTCAATAGTTAAGTGGGTGAATCAGTTTAGTGAACTTCATTACAGTTATATCTTTAATAATTAGGTGCACTACTAGTTGTTACTCGGATCAAACAGTTAGAGAAGAGGGAATCAACCTACAACGAGGCTTATTTCCACAACCATAAGAAAAATTAACATTTCCAATTTGATTCGGGGAAGAGATAGGGGCATTACCTAATATTGGTTCCTATATCCAAGATTGCAAGTGACGGACTGCATATAGGCCTAACCTATAGCATTTTCCTACATTAAATGATTGCTTTCTCACCCAAACCTACATTCTCAGGCTTGTCATCCATTAGGTTTTAGCATTGCATCAACCACCAAGCAATGGTGCCTTAGATCCTATCAAAAGATAAAACTCAAAAATTATATGCATATCATACAAGTAAGAAAAAAACGAGAAATGCCGATTATACATTAGCATCCTAAACATGTCTATGAGTGTTAGAAAATGGCTCACTTGGGCTGAGTTGGAGTCGCCATCCATCACTCAAGTGAAATAGAGGTGATGGAACTTCTAGGAATCTCATCAAAACTCTTTTCTTTTGCTTAATAATGACTCCAGAGCTTGAGGCACCAGCTAACTAGCCTAAGTAAGACTCAGATATATGGGAAAGGGAAGGAGTTACACACCCCCTTCCCGGGTTCAATATGTGGGACTCACATGATATCCCAAACAAACAAGTACAAATAAATAATCAATTAAGCAAAATAAAAAAAGCAAACCACAAGAACAAACCATCACCAACGTTAATCTACCTATCCTAATTTTTTTGTTTCTATATTTTTTATCTACTTCTCTTTTTGGTTTTTTATTTTTTTATTTTTTTATTTTTATTTTCCCCTCCTCTAGAAAACACAACATCGCAAACTCTTATTGTCTCCTTTCATATATTTTGGGAAAATTCCCAATTAGTACCATGTACTTTGGGCATAATGCCACTTTGGCCCCTGAACTTTGAAACACGACAATTCAGTACCTAAACTTTCAAAACATGCCAATTTAGTACCTATTGTTAATCAGTTGTTAAGTGACATTTGAAAAGACACAAATGCCCTTCAAGTATCATCTAATTTTCTTTATCAACCATCCAAACGTTGATAAAAATGAACAGTTCCAAATGCTTGCTTCTTCTATTCAAGAAAGTTGGGGTCACCATAATGCCCACTAAGACGTGACTCCAACTTTCTTAAATTGAAAAGGCAAGAAATTTGAACTATTCATTTTTTGTCAACATTTGGATGATTGATAAAAAGAATTAGATGATACTTGAAGGGCATTTGTATCTTTTCAAATGCCACTTAAGGGTTGACTGGGTACATACAAAAGAGCTTTCAAAATTGCCCACCTTACTACACAACCGTTGGTTCAAAATATTCAGCCCAGAACAGAGATTAACACTGTTGTAACCTGCAACAACAATTCCAACCTCTCCAGCTGCTAGTAAATGGACATTGCCATATCCAGTTTTCCATTCTCAACTAAAGAACTCATCAGGAAATTGAAGGACCAAGCGTGGGGGAGATAGCCATATCCAATTTACATTTCCATAAACTCGTTTTCGACCTTTCATTCCTATTCTAATTCTATGGTAGGAAACAAGTATATTATAGATGATGATATTTTTGTTGATATAATATAAATAAGGTTATAAAAGGGGTAAAATAGACTTTTCAAAAGTTTTAAATTCCCTGAAAACACATTCATAAGCCAAAATTAATGGCATATTAGTGAAAATATGGAGTAAGTAATTGGACCACAAACTACAAAGTCCAATAAGTTTCTTCATGTGTGATTGAAATTAGTGTGTGATAGTCCGCATTCTCGCTCGCATACATATAAAACAGTAGCAAAAATAAATAAATAAATAAATAAAACTATGATAGATTGAATGGCAGGTCTTAGTATATAGGCCTAGGGTTTGACTATGATATCAGAAAGGACAACTAAAGAACTGGGCCTGCGTGAATTTTTGGGCCTGTGAGATTTGAGGCCAAAAGGCAATTTACATGATGCTTGGAAGCGTGGATGCTTTTTGGGCCCGATTTTCAAGAAAAAATGTCTATGCTTTTAAGATCTGTTTTTTGCAAAAAAACGCTTCTACCACGCAGGCAATAAGCAACATTATGTTGTTTGGTAAGGTGATTTTCATGAGCCGAGATCTGCTCCTCACAAATGGGCACCTCACAGGCACATCCACCGTGCATTGGGAACATCTCCCGTGAATAATAAGTATGGGAAATGTTCTCAATGCATGGTAGGATGTGTGTGTGAGGCGTCAAGTGTGAGGAGCAGATCTGGTCTCGATTTTCATCACCGCTTTTCATGTATGTGCTGACAGGGAAACACCACATAGGATACACATCAGTCAACCGTTGGGGGAAACGGTTCATCGATGGGGTCCCGATTTTCGAGGCATGCCCGATTTTTTAACAATCAGCTGAACCAAACAATTAGATACATGGGCGTTTGTTGAAACGCCTATGTGGATCCAACGTAACACCGTTTTTTTGAAAAACGGCCACGGTTCCAAACATCCCCTTACAAAACCGACTGGTTTTGTGAAATTTTTTTTAACATGTAAGTGCAAACTTCTAGAGGTCTTAACATTACGCACGAATGTTTAATGGGGGTGAATCTTTCTTTTGATTATTAACTTTTCAAGATATATGTGTTCCCAAGGTGCCTTGTCCCACTATTTTTGCCAAAAATTGGCTTTTGGCCTCAAATCTCAATTTTTAATATAAAAAACTGAAACTAAAATAAAAATATGTTATAAAAGAACATAATTATGTATTTTGAATATTTGCATGTAATTATTATAATGTATATATCATATAACTGTGCATATTATTATATGAGAAAATTCTCAATTAGTACCTTGTACTTTGGATGACATGTAATTATTATAATGACAATCTAGTACCTACAGTTAAATAGTTGTTAATCAGCCGTTAAGTGACATTTTAAAAAGACACAAATGCCCTTTCGAGTGTTATCTAATTTTTTTATAAACTATGCAAACATTGACCAAAAAAATTAATAGTCCCAAATCCTTGCTTCTTCTATTCAAAAAAGTTGGGGTCACCAAAATGTCCACTCAAACGTAACCCCAACTTTCTTGAATGGAAGTAGCAAGGATTTTGGACTTTTAATTTTTTTTTTTTTGTAAATGTTTAGATGGTTGATAAAGAAAATCAAATGACACTCGAAGGGCATTTGTGCCTTTTTTAAATGTCACTTAACACCAAGTTAACTGCTAATTAATGGCAGTCAAGGTTCAAAGTATCGACACGTATCGACCCTTATCGACCGATACATATCGTTCTGGGAACCCTCCGAACACCCCTACAATGGGTGTATTGGAGGTCCGACCGGTTCAAGAGGTAGAGGAGACCTAACCGGCCCCCCTGAACCGGTTACAAAAAAAAAAGACCAAAATGTGTATCGATTCACCCGATACGCCCCTACCAGCATATCGAGCATATCGATATTTTGAACCTTGATGACAGGTACTGGATTGTCACGTTTTGAAAATTCAAATACTGAATTGTCGTATTTTAAAATTTGGAGACCAAAGTGACACTAAGCACAAAGTACAGGATACTAATTGGGAATTTTCCCTTATTAAGTTATTATATATATGTTAAACCTCCGACCCATAAACCTCTCCTTCCCTTCCCCTTTGAATTCTGATAAAATCCATGGTACCACTTTTATGATATTGATTGGTTACTACTTTTACGATACCAATCGATTGCTCGCAACTTACACAAGAAAATAAGTTATTATATATATGTTAAACCTCCCACGCATAAACCTCTCCCTCCCTTCCCCTTTGAATTCTGATAAAATCCATGGTTCCGCTCCGCTTGATTAGTTACCACCTTTATGATATTGATTGGTAACTACTTTTATGATACCAATCGATTGCTCGCAACTTACACAAGTTTTTCTTTGTATCATAGTCGAACCCCAGAATTCAAGTACAGTGAAGCTTTGAATTTTCCCTTGCGAAAAGTTTCAATACCAAGAAAAAAAAAAGAAAACCTTCCGCCGCAAGTTGCAACTAAATAAAAAATAGAAAACAAAGTTGGGTGATTAAATTTGAAAACCAGATCGTTTAATCACAATATTGATTGGAACTTGGAACACTCTCAACACCTGCACCTTCGATAATAAATTAGGTTTTGAAAATAATGCTGAGGGGAAAATAATGAAAGAAGGGGATGGATTCTATTTACTGCAAATGAATCTAAAAAAAAGTATAAAAGCCGGGCTGTCTGCCGTAGAGAAAATCCTGGGAACATGATTACATTAACTCTTAACGACAAGCTCTATGTTCTCCCTGTTATTTCCCTGTCCAGTTTCATTCTTTTGGCACTGGGAATGGGGGGTTGCTGCATGGTGCCAACCCGCTGCTGAAATGACGAATCATGCTGATATGCACAATTGGCCCCATGCCGACATCCCCTAGAGCTGTTGAAGTAGATGCAAGGCTTCGGGATCTTGGGTTTTGTGCTCTGTACTGGTTCTTGGTTTGCACTTAGAGTTTGAGGGCTGTGGCAATTACTGAACTGCGGAAGGGTGAGATCCTGAGCTTCTGGTCTTTCTCCCCCATGTTGTTGAATCAGGCTTTTATAGTAATTTACATCTTTGACGGGAGGTGCTTTTGCAGCAGGATTGGGGATTGGAACGACTCCAGGTGGATGTGGTCGTGGATTTAAGTTGGGTACCGCTGCATTTGTCACGGGGTACAAGTTTCCCGTTGCAGGGGCTGCTGAAAAGGGTAAATCTGATTCTGTCCTACTGATGTGGACAGGATGTGGGCCTGTCAGCGGGCCTAATGGGATCATAGGTGGTGAGCTTGGCTTGGGTGTGATTTGTGGATTTGAAGGTTTTGTATAATCCGTAACCAATTTCTCAACCAGCTTTGGGTTGCTCAGTATTTTAATGAGCAACTCATGGTCAATCAGACTTCCCTGCTCGTTGCTTCGCATGATTGCAGTAAATACTGCAGAGGCAGCAGCAACCACGTCAGGTTCTACACCAGGGATGGTAACAGAAGCAGGCTTTTCATTGTCTGCAAGATTTGGAGCAACTGTTAAGTCGCTTTTAGAGGTGTATGCAGATCCAGGAACCAACAGGCCTTGTGGAAAAACTGGCTGCTGCACACTCAAAGAAGTGGCAGTTGGAATTACAGAACTGCATGATGGATCTGGTTCTTCATCTTCGATGGGCGTGATGGGAATGATAGGAGTCTGACGATCATCCTGATAATAGTTCTCTATATCTGGTGAAACAGATGGGCTGCAAGAATGGATGAAATGAAAGTAGGATTAAAAGAACAGAAAAACCACGAACAGACAAGGTTGCAAAAGGAAAGACAATATGCACCTTGGAGGAATGGCAGAAGGGCGAGGATACACTGCTTCAAGCACTCGCATCTCTCTCTGGTTTTGAACTTCAGCCTCTTTGCTTTCTTCCCCGGCCACCACTTGCCAATTGTGATTCAACACAAACTGTGCAAATTAGAGAATAAAGGAGATGGTAATAAGATTGCGGTGTTTTGGATTCTAGAGCAGGAATTCAAACACTTCAATGGAGTAAAGTCTTGCTCATGAATTGCAAGGATGATGGGTTTTAATTTAAAATTGAAGACTCGGAAAGAAACATAAAACATAGGCACGCTTACTCTGGGAGGACATTTCCATTTAATAAGAGGGATCTGGGAGAATTCTTTCTTCACTTGATTAAAAGGTTGAGCACCTTCAAACCCAGGAGGAAGATGGTCATCATAGTTCATTCCACTTGAATGCAGTAGCCATGATGCCTTTGCTTGGAGGTGATCTTGAGCTCCGATTCCAACCTGTGAGGGAGAGTCCTCAGATAGGAACAACCTCACCTGTGTAACAGAAAGCATTAATTAATTTACCAATTTATGGTGATCATTTTGGCAACTGGTGCATAAGACCATCTAGCTAGCATAAATTTCAGAACTCCCAAAGGACCAAAAGACTTTGATAAAAAGATAAATTGTATTAAAAATTCCAGACTGAACCCTCAAAGACTCCATTCAACTGAATTTCTTGCATTTTCATTATATGAATAGTATGAATGTCTTTTTCTGTTGATAAATGAATAATAATTTTATTAATAATAAGAAATGAAGTGTACATTCACCCTAAGAGGAGGCTCGAGATGTTACCTCCCCTTAGAGAGTATGAATGTCTTGATGCATTATTTAGGACTTTGTTTTCAACCATTCCAAGTTTATCAAGAGATCATCTTTAATTTCCATGTCACAAGGATGGGCAATTAACCTAGATGTCTACAACAGCAAATTCTTGGAGACAGCAAACCATGTGAGATGCACTTCTTGTTAAATATGATAATTTACTTGATATATGTTATCGAAATTCAGTACACATCAATCAAGATCAAAGCCATATCCCAACAACTTGTATATAATGATTAATGACGGTACTAAACATTCATACAATTGATTCACAATTTGTGGCAACTTTCCTATAAAACTACAAATGTTAGCTAGGTCGACATTTTATATGTTTATTCCTAGAAAACTGCATTGATCTGAATTTGTAGGGGGGTCACATATAAAGAATCAAACATTTACTTGCAGGATAGAAACTTCATGATCCCACTAAATTTATAATTAGAAATAGATTAATTTTGAGCAATCCATTAGAGGACATTCAATCCAATAAAGGGCTTCAATATTATAAATCAACCTCTCCTGCTTTAATTTAAACAGCATTTAACATGTTTATCTTAGCTATCTCTTGCTTTAATTTAAACAGCATTCAACATGTTTCTCTAATCTCAGGAAAAGAAATTTGAACCAATGATTATTAAATATAATCAATCTTGGTTTAAGCATGAACCAAGTGCATTCAATTTAAATAAGCTGAAGCCATTGAAAAGAGTATCTTATGTTTTGGGGTTAACCCACTTCAGTTTTCCAAGGAAAGAAAATAGAACCAAGGAAATAAATCAAACAAAACCAACTTTCAATAAGCTCAGTGAAACATCATGGTCTTAGTTCCTTCTATTATGCTCTTCAAAAAATTCCCCAAGGAAATAAGCTTATAAACAAAGACCCTCAGGTAGAATATTTTTAGTGTTTAGTATGAGCCAACAAATTGGGAAGTTCATTCCCTCTTTGTGCTTAAACTTTGGCTAGTTAGTTGATACTTCTAAAAACTTCAGTATGCTATATGATAGAACAATACAAACATATTAGATTTTAGAACTTGAGTATCTTAAAAAAATTTGAAATCCCTTTTTGCACTTGGCAAAAAAAAAGGAACTAACAACATATCAAGGGAACTTACTCAGGCTATTCTCATGCCACAGTCAACAATTACATGGAGGTTCTACTTTAGCTCCATATATCCATCCCTGACAAGAAGGTCAATGATTGTTTTTTCGATGAATGGGAAGGTCAATGATAAATTGCAAAAGAATTATCCACTCAATAAATAAAATGAATATAACCCAAGATAGGTGGCCCTGAAAATGGATGTGTCAAAGGTCTATGATCAGATGGACAGAAAAATTCTGGAAAAAGTCAATGGATGGTTAAAACTTCATTCTTGATCCTTAATGGGGAGGTGGAAGAAAAATTTTGTAACCAAGTGCTCTGAAATGAAGCCTTTGTGGTTCTATTGTTGGGATGGAATTATGACCCAGATGCTGATTAAAACTAAAGCTGAAGTAAGGATAGAGGTATCAAAAATTCAAAATTAATAGACTGACCCCTAGCATATTATACCTGTTCTTTGCAGATTCTTAATGGCACTTTGGAAGGTAAACATATATGAAGTTAAGAAACTTAAGAGATTCTTGAGGAATTCAGAGATGTTGAAACAACAGATAAACTAATAAATATCAGGAATCTTATTTAGCAAGATTATCAACCATCAAGCAACACAGAAGAATACTAGATTGCACAATGAAGATGAGAATTGTGATATATGAAGACAAATACTTGAGTGCATAGTTGTCAAGGCAACGCCTAGGCGACAAGGCGCCCTTTGAAGCTCACCTCGCCTAATCGCCAAGCAGTTTTATACTTCCTACTATAAAATACTTTTTTATTCAATCTTTTTTGAGAATATAATTATAAAATAGACATTATTAAACTAAAATAATCATTTTGTATGTTTATATACTAATTTCTTTTTATTATTTTCTTATTTATTAGGGTTTGATCAATACAAACATTGCTAAATGCTGTATTGCACCCTCAAAGACTTAAAAACCTGATAAGTAAGGAAGAACTTAAAATTTTATCTAATCAACACATTTTCCTCTTCCATATATTCTTCTTCTACTACTACTACCAATACTTTTTATTTTCTTCTTTTCCTATAACAAAAATAAGGGTTCAGCCCCTATATTTTTTGAATTTTATTTTCCTTCTTCCTTTTCTTCTCATGAATATGTTGATTTTCTATTCAAGAGCATCCCCTTGGGATTCTAGCAAGGACTACAACAGCATCCCCCTAGAAAGCCATTCAAACTACTTTGCCCGTGCACTCTCTCTGGATCAGGTATGACTTGCACTTAGGCAACCTAATTAAATTCTGGGAACATGTTTGGGTTGGGGATTCCCCTTTGAAAGATCAATTTCCAACTATTTTTGCTATCTCTACCCTTAAAAATGAATCAGTTTCCTCCTTCCTAGTACCTTCTAACTCACCTTCTAGATTCGGTTGGAACCTGGGGTTGAGAAGAGATATAATGGAAACAGAATTAGGTTGTATTTCAGCCTTATTATCCATCATTGAAGGGATTTTCCTAGAGCCAACAAAGGAAGACAATAGAATTTGGACACTCATTCTCGGGCTCCTACACCAGTGCCTCTTTCTTCAAAGCCCTGATACAACCTTCTTCTGTTGGACTGTCATTTCCTATTAAAGAAGTGTGGTGTCAACCTATACCTCTGAAGGTTGGGAGTTTCTGTTGGGAAGCCTTTCTGGAAAGAGTTAATACAGGAGATTTACTTCAAAGAAAAAGACCCAATAGTTGCTTGTTTCCTCATTGGTGTGTCCTCTGTAAATCTGATGGTGAGTCTGGATACCATTTACTAATTTCCTGTCAGTTTGCTAAAGCTATTTGGGAATGGCTTACTTATTTGTTTGGGTACAGGTCGACTCCCCCTTTGAATGCAAAGCTTATTCACGTCCATGCCCAACTGCTCAACAAAAAGGGCAAAGTTCATGTGGAGATGTGTAAGGGCTGCAGTTTGTTGGACTGTTTGGGAGGAGAGAAATCGCAGATTTTTCTAGACAAAGAGAGAAGCTTGGAAGTAATATTGGAGGTTATTCACATTAGGGTGATACACTGGTTAAAAACTTTGGAATTGTTTGTTGATTTCTCAATTGATGAGATGCTAAGGAATTGGAAGGAAATTGCAGAATCAACTTCAGCTAAGAAAGCTTCAAGTTCTTGTTGGACCCCTCCACCAAGCAGCTTTATCAAACTGAACTTTGATGGCAGTAGTTTGGGCAATCCAGGGTCCTCTGGAATAGGGGGAGTGATAAGAGATGAAAAAGGGAATCTGTTAGCTATGTATTCTGGTCCAATTAGGGTGGGAGACTCCTTGAGGGCTGAGATATTAGGAGCTCTTAAAGGCATACAAAGGGTCAAAGACATGCACATTAAGAAATTGACCATAGAAGGTGATTCTGAAATTGTAGTGAACTGGTTAAAAGAGGACAAATCCAAGCTCTGGAACTACAGCAATGAAAAGAGGAAATTTAAGTGGTTGAGTAACGACATAGAAGTTAGTTGTACATGGGTAAAGAGAAGTGCAAACTCATTGGCAGATGGCTTAGCTAGGCAAGGGGTGAACAGAAACTCTATTTTTTGGGCTGTTCTGTAATTGTTTACGGTTTGGGTGTACATTGATGTATTAGTGAGTTAAGATTTTTTAGCTCCTTATCTATGTACTTTCTCAATCTTTAATAAAATTCACTGTTATTGATCAAAATATATATATATATGGTTATGGTACCTAGGGAACTACCCTAGGATCTATGTTTTTAACATAAAAAAATCCATCGCCTAGGCGACTAGGCGACAAGGCACCCCCCAGTCGCCTAGCCTTGCCTTGGCGCCTTGAAAACTATGCTTGAGTGCAAGGCTACTAATTGGAAAGAAGACGTAGAGTGAGAAGGTGAAGACCCAAGTTGGTTCAACAACAGAGTGAGAAGGTGAAGACCAGAACTATTGTTGAAGATGGGAAGGAACAGCTGACCCAAGTGGTGGCTCAGTCCATTAGGCTCCGTTTGGGAAGAGTGCAAATACAAATACGTATAGTGCATTCTGGCCCATGCAAATGCAAAGTTGGTTTAGTTTTTCATTGATAAATTTACTTTCTTGCCAAACGATTTTTAGTTGGGGTAAAATACAAAAACCTCCCCTCAAGTTTCTGACAATCATAAAAACCTCCCCTATAGTTTCATTTTAACAAATACCTCTCCTGAACTTTTGAGAAACTCAACAAAAACCTCTCTTCTGTCACCTTTCCAGACGGAAAACGTTAGACTGATGCACCCGTTTTTTTTTCAAATATCCATTCTACCATTTCATAAATTATTTTATATACAAAATTATTGAAATAACCATGTTTTAACTTGACAAAAATGTTAGAATATGACCTTTAAAGAAGGTTTTTGTCAAATTAAAACATGGTTATTTCAGTAAATTTGTATGTAAAATAATTTATGAAGAGGTAGAATGGGTATTTGGAAAAAAACTGGCTCATTAGTCTAATTTTCCGTCTGGAAAGGTAATGGCAGGGRGGKTTTTGTTGAATTTCTCAAAAGTTCAGGGAGGTATTTGTTAAAATGAAACTATAGGGAAAGTTCTTATGAT